AGGGAGGGGGTAGTAAGACCGGGATGGGGAAGAGCCAGTAAAGGGTACATCTTCAAGCAGTTTTCCACTGGAGGTAACTGGGTTCGATCCTCCTCCCACACCCCCGGGGAACTAGGAAAAACCGTGTAGAACACACCTGAGAGTCATCCCACCAGAGGACATGGAAGCTGGGGTATTTACCCTCCAACTTCCATCTGTCATTGGCTTAGAATTGTGGGGAGTTGCAGGTGTTTGTGCTCGGGAGCCAACCACCATTCTTGTGTACTGAAGGGTGAGTGCCAGGGGGATATCGGTGGATCACCACTACTATCTACTACGTTTGTTAATGATTCAAAACAATTGGAAGAATCACATTTTCTTGACAAAATTTAGGCCCACAAAATTTGCAACACGGGACCTAATTGCCATAAAAGTAAAATCACTTGTAAGAGGTTAAAATGTAAAACTTTTTATTTGGACAAATTTTAAAACAAATCATAGTGACATTTTTATGAATAAGAATTTTCCAGATGAAAATAATTGCATTAAAATACAAATAAAAGTACTAGAAACATTTTATCTGCCTTATGTAGAGAATTGATCTCAAGGAATTAAAGTGATTTGAGTTTGCTTGGGAAAATATGTTCCTCCTAAAATTTCTTCGGTGTTGGCATGATTCTGATTAGAATGTTTGTACTAACAAACATGGAGTCACAGTGTCCTCGGGCTCAAAACAAGAAGAGGATCGAAACATCCTGTTCTTGAGTTGCTAGAGGCCAAAAAATGAAGAGGTTTTGTGCCAGGGGAAATTGCATGGGTAAATGCAGAGTGGAAAAGCATATGGAATGCTTTGGGAATGATGAATTCCTTACTGACAGAGCTATGGGAGCAGATGTTAAGCAAAAAAAAAAAAAAAATATATATATATATATATTCATGAATATTCTGTGGATCTGCAGATTTCTTTGTTGAAGGAGGATAAGAGAAAAATTGGATCTTACAGTCCACCAGTAAAACTCCTCACAACTTTTCATTAAAACATCCCATGACCTTATAGAAAAATAATAAAAATTCATTAAAATAATGAGAGATTGACGGACAACATAATATAAAATTGTGAATAGCCTTGAAAATAATTTTAAGGCAAACAGAGTTAGACTGAGAAAAAGAGATGCATACTTCACCTCCTATGGAATACTCAGGCTTCCCTTCACGAAAGACAGCAACTGGAGAAAAAGGTGTTTTTTTTTGTTTTTTTTGTTTTTAAGGTACACTGTTCTTACTACACCAACTGTGTCCTGGTGCAGAAATTCGGGCCTTTACTAGCCAGAGGACTGGTCATTCTTAGCTATTGATCCCAATGAGCTATACTGTGAGGCAGGAAGTTTTGTTCCTGAGTTTTGCTCCTTGCTTGAAACCTGTCTGTGTCCTCTGCCCACCTCTAGTCCCATCCCCTCTGCCCACTGTAGCCTCCCAGGCCCCACGCCCTCTAGTCTACCCACTGCCTTTTTACATTTTTACATTGAAACTGTTAATCAACTAGGCAGGAAGTAAGGGCAGACTGGCCGTGGTATAAAACGTATCCTCCCCCATTACTCACTAGGCAACCGCAGACATAGGAAGAACTGTTTCACTTACTGTCATTGGCTCCCAGTACCATAGACGAGGACGACAAGAGGAAGGTGATAACCACAAGAGCACAAGGAGGTACAATAAGGGAAAGCCTGTTAGAAGCTGGAAGGCGGACAGGAAGCCATGCCCATCAACTAACCCACTTTCCAGCTGCAGATTTATCAAGGGGGTGGAAACACTACCCAAATGCCTACAAGTTGGGACTAAAGGCAACCCACACATTCTGTTGACACATTGAGTCTGGGAGGGTCTTCCCCTATTTGTGTATGGATTAAAGAAAAAAAAACAAATTGGGGTCTACAAACAAAGATTATGGCATAAAAGAAATAGTTGGAAGACTGAAAGAAAGGAAATACTTCTGGAAAATTACTGGCTTTCAGAGCCAGAAGAAAAAGTACAAACTATTTGGCATCTTCAAAAGATTGCAAATAACCATAACCTCTGTGCACAAGGAGCAAAAGGTCATAGGTACATGAAGAACAAAAGTTGAAAATGTAGTTGACTCAAAGAAGACTGTAAGAAAATTCCTAAGGCAACAACAGAATTAAAATCCGTATGCAGTCAGTAAAGAATAGAAAGGCTATTATAGGAAATTCACCTGCTGACAAGAAAGAAATCCTTGAGATACTTTCCAAGAATGCAGGTGAAAATGGCATTCAGTTCTTCACCACATGCTTCACGAACGCCTACTATGTGCCAGTCACTTCTAGGTACTGGATCCAAAGGCCCTCACATTATCATCAGAGTGTGAGAGGAAGCCATTAAACACTTACACACAAATTAACATACAACTGCAAATGATGATGGTTGCCACAACTAAAAACTGATCCTAAAAAGATTGCCTGGGAGAAGCTAGTTCTGATTAGGTAGTTAGGGAGCATCTCTCTAAAGAAGGAAGATACAGCTGGAGAAAGGAAGGATCAGTAAGAGAAAACCAAAAAATAGAAAGTGGGCAGCGGTGTGTAGCCCTGCAGCAGGACAGCACGTGGGCCATCAGAGAGACGGAAAGAGGACCAGGGTATCTGGTTGAGGAGAGGGAGGCGGGGAATGTGGCGGACAAATACCTAGGGCTAGATCGCAGGAGGCTCCCTGAGGCTGGGTGAGAAGTCTGTATTTTATTCTAAGGGAAATGGGAAGTCATCGAAGGGTTCTAAGGAGGTGGCTGATGTGATTTACATCTTAAAATGTCGTCTGGTCCCTGAAAGGGGGAAGCATGGAATTGGAAAGCTCACCGAGGGGGCCCGGGCAGTGTGAGGGTGATGACCACCAGGACAAGGGTGGTAGCTGACACCGCAGGCAGAGAAATGAGTGGCATTTGGACATGCTCTGGAGGTTACAATTGGCACAACTTGGCGATGGAGTGGCTATACGAGGTAGCGGAGAAGAGATGGCCACCCAACGTCTCCTGAGTCCATCTTGAACACAGGGCATATGATGATGCCATTAGCTCCGATGGGAAAGACAGGCCGAAGAGCAATTTGGGGAGGGAATAGCAGGAGCGCAGGTCCAAGCCCATTAGCTCTCAGAAGCTTGTGAGGTGTTCAAGGGTGAAGAGGTCAAAAATGTCGCTGGATACATCAATCTGGATGAAACTGAGAAGAAAGGTCAGAATTAGAGAGATACATTGGCCAGTCACCTGCCATTATAGATAGTACTTAGTTATTTTGACTTTATGTACCTTTTCCTTATGGAAATATTCAAAGATACACGAAAGTAGACAAAATAATATACTGAATCTTTACTCACCACAGTACCCATACCATTTTGCCATGGGAATGGTAAGTCTCCTGAAGAGAATGAGAAAGATTCCAATTCCCACTGCTTACTCCAGTCTGCTTCCTCATCTGAAAAATGAGAAAACTCCAACCCACCTCAGGGAGTTCTGGTGACAAGAAAAGAGGTGAATCATGTCAACAGTATGTGGTAACCAATGTAAGCCATTCATATTTTTATTGTTGAGTGGGCGATATGGATCCAAAACACAGCAAGGTTTGTGAGTGGAAACACGTTTCTAAACTCAGGAGAAAGTACTGAACTCGTTGAGCTCTTATGGAGAGAACAAAACAGAAGCTGCTGGCACAACTATGGCAAGTTTGGGATTCTCTCAAAGGTGAAGGAAGCCGAGGACACAGCAGGAATCTGAGTGAAATTAAGGTTTCGGTAAAGTGTGAATTGTGCGTGTAAAAGACTCCGGTGGCCGGCAGTGGAGTCCCCACTTTACGGTAATGACACTACGTTGAGGGCAAACTCACAGGAAAATGAAGTCAGGGGAAGCCTGGGTGGCTCAGTCGGTTAAGCGACTGCCTTTGGCTCAGATCATGATCCCGGGGTCCTAGGATCGAGCCCCGAGTCGGGCTCCCTGCTCAGCGGGGAGCCTGCTTCTCCCTCTGCCCTTCTCCCGCTCATGCTCTCTCTCTCGCTCTCTCTCTCTCTGACAAATAAATAAACAGAATCTTGAAAAGAAAAGAAAACGAAGTCAGAAGTCGAGTCAGAGCATGCCATGATGCGGTCTGGTGAGGAGTCTGGGACGGTCTTCGCTGTAAAGAGTGACCCCGCGCGTAGCCAGAACCGCTGGATTCGGAATAAAAGGGTTACAGAGCCGTAACCTGGGCTCTGGAGCAGAGCTTCTGGAACGTAATGGGCACACAACGCCCCCCCCCACTCCCGGGGCGGGGTGTGTGTGTGTGTGTGTGCCGTGAACCCGCTCTTCTGCTGCAGCGGGGGCCAGGACGGCCCGAGACTCTGCATTTCCAACCAGCTCCCGGGCCAGGCCTCTGCGCGGAGCAGCAGGGGCTCCCGGGATCCGTGGGCAGCGCGGCGGCTCCGCCCGCTGACTTTGCTCCCAGCCGGTGGCCGAGAAGCCACGCCTCACACGCACGCAGCTCCCCTAGAAGGACGGTGGGGCCGGGAAGGGGCAGGAACCCATTGCCCGCGCCGCCGGGCTGGGGGCAGCCAGGGGCTCAGAGTCCTTCGCGGGGCCTCACGTGGCCCAGGACGGTTGCGGGAAGAGCAGGGGGGCAACCGCTGTGGAGCTGAATACGGTCACCCGCGTCCACGCCCCCGGGGACTCAGCCTTCACAGGTGGAGAGGAGAGAGACGGCAGACACGGAGATCGGACGACCAACGCCGACACGGACAGGTGCTCGCTGTTCCTAGCCAAGAGATGCAGTCGTGCAAGATCTTCTGGGAAAAGGTTTTCCTGAGCTCGAGGAACATCTCTATCTGCAGACTGAAAGAACTCACCCCACCTCGGGGAAAATTACCTCCCTACACACCGGCACAGCTGGGCAACAATTTTTAACGCCAACTTTTCACCACAGAAACCCCTGCAGTCCTTCAGACAGGAGGAAACCCATCATTTATTGAGGGCTGCCCTTGTGTTCTGCACGCTACTTGGTGCTTTCCATGAATTCTCTCATCTGAAGCTCACGGCATTCCAGTAAAGCTGTGGTGCCGGCCTTCAGGTTGACTGGATTCAAGAACTCCATCGATTTGGTCAGGACGCCTGGGCTCAGGTCATCGCAGCCCAGTCCCTCTGGAAGAAGGAGAGAGTCTCTCTTCCAGTTTCACCACAGAAGGACTCAGTTGTCTCTGTGCCACGTGCTCGCCCTTGGGTCCATCGCAGCGGCTAAGAGGATGGAGTGAGGTAACTGGCCAGAGGCTGAGGGTACTATCATTGTAAGTCCCCGCAGAATTAAAAGGTTGGAGTGAGGAAAAATAAACAAATGACAGAGAGGAAGGAGGGTTTGGCCAGCAAATGCAAAGGGTCCAAGACAGGGAGGTCTATGAGTTGCCCCACTTTACAGATGATGACAGCAAGGACTGGAGAAGTCAAGTAAGTCACCCAAGGTCACACATCTAGAGCTCTCAACCGCTATGCTGGAAGGCAACAAAGTCAGTTTGATTTTGGGCTTCTCTGCAGCATCAGCTTTCAGAAGAAAACGGAGCAACAGCTAGAGTTTTTAGAGAAAAGGCTCACTAACTGAAGATTCATCTGCTCTGCCCAATTGTCTTTTACAATAATAGCTAACAAATATTAAGCACACACTGTGTGACGTTCTAAGAGCTTTATATAGACTGACTCATTCACTCTACCATCACCCCTCATTTTACAGATGAGAGAACTGAGAGTTTGGGTAACTTCTCTAAGAGGCAGGGTGGGGCCCAGGCAATCGGATCTTCTGGGCCTTGCTGCGAACTGTTCTTCCAGACTTCTAGGGTTCAAACACACTGTCAACACGCACTCCCTGAAAAAAATTTAACGTACACCATAATAACAAGAGATAAAAAAAGAGTTCAAAAATGAGAAAACTGTGTGAAAATGACAGTTTTTAAAAAGTCTAAATAATTACTCTGTATCTAAATCTAAGATTTTAGTAACAAAGAGAAGAAGGAAGGTATTAAAAGTTCAACTCAGCCAAATCAGGAGGTACTAAAAGATTAGCATTTCATTTAAAAAATTCTGATCATTTAAGAAATATAGCCACAGAATGCTTTTTTAAATTGATGTCCTGCTTCAATATTTTATTTAGCAGTTTTCCAAAAACAGCTGGTGCCATAAACTCTTTTAAAGGAAAACAATAAGGTTTTTGCCTTTTTTAAAAGGGTAAATAGTAAGTTTTTTTGTAATATGAACTCAGATTCACACTTACTCGACATGTTTCAAGCCCCTGCAATTATGTTTATGTTCACATCAAATTATCCCAATTGTGGGTAGGGGGAGTTTTGACTTGGCCCCTGAGTCCTTTTGCCATCTCCTAATGTGTCTCATAGATTTATTGCTATCAAAACAAGACCCACAGAATGCTTAAAGGCCGTACATACCAGCCCTAAAAGGAGTAAAAGGAGTATATATGCCTTCCAAAGCAATGAAGCAGATAAAAGCAAATACTCATAAAAGAGAAACAAATCATAAAACAAAGGAAATGGCAAAGAAGCATTTAAAAATAGCATAGAAGAAGATGAAACATAATACATTAAATGTATTCATTATAATGAGAAATATAAATGGAACTTACCTCCTTATTTAAAAATAAAATTTCCCAGACTGGGTTTTTAAAAATCAATTCTATGTTAATTAAAAACAATCCCACAATCGCACAAAAAGATCAATGTAAGAGAATGGGAAGAAATACAAGAAGCAGACACAAATGAAGGAAAACCAAAGATCAAAATATTTAAGTTAGTAGAATTTGAGACAAAAGCTAAACAAAATGGCCCTGAAATGTATACAATCAAAATATGAAGGACAGAGATTCACTTAATGATATGATTAAGGCCTTATTTAATAGCTTCCTGGAAAGAAACATGTATTCTAGACATTACGCCTTTTTCCTAGTGCCCATGGAACACTTACAAATATTGACTATAGAGCTGCACTAACAGTGGCATGTAAGCAAGGTTCAACTGCTGAAGAAGACTCACGGGACACAAAATGACAAAGCCTACCAATGTACAGTTTATTACAGGGAAGTGACACGCTATAGCAAGAGCATAAACGTCAGAATATACATCACAGCCCATGACTCACAGTAGGCATCTGCGGAAGCCGGGTGCAAGCTCCTGATGTCCCGTTTCTGTACGGGCCAGGCCAGATGTCTCCCGGATCCAGAACCACTGATGTGGGCACAGAACGCTTCGGGACCAGGGAGACTAAAACAAAGTATTTGCTGAGGGTGTTTATATTTTGCTGGTCACCTAGGCATATCCCGGCTGCAGAACCCACAGAACCCTGGGGGTGGGGGCTGGGGAGTATCACCCCAAGTGATACAGGTGCAAGTCTTCAATCTCATTGTTATTAATAAACCGCGCCAAGGAGCTGTGTCAAACTGCTCTGAAACTCTTTGGACTCATGGTTACAGAGACATTATACATCAGTGTTTCATGCTTTGACCAGGAGTCAGTGTCAAGCAGGAGCTTTAATTTAAGCAAACAGCTCAGGTTAATTATAGACCTGCTGTGATTAACCTTTACAGCACAGAAGCAAAACACTAAGTATATTTCAATAATTTCCAAAATGCTGAAACCACACAAACCCTATTTTTGGACCACAGTTCAGAAAATGAATCAATGTGATGAATACAAAGTAATCAAAATGCAAATTAAAACAAGATGCTTTTTAAAGAATATAAGTCTGATGAAAATTAATAAGAATGTTAATATCCAGTGTCAGCAAGGATCTAGGGCAAGTAGGCCTCTTCATTTACTGCTCCTGTAAACATACATTTATAGAACTATTCCTGGTATATCATGGTAATCTGTATCAAAATCCTTAAAAAGGTACATTCTCTTGGCCCAGAAATTACATATTTGGCATTTCATCCTGAGCAAAGAATTGAGGATTTGGGCAAACAAAGATGTTTATTGCAGCACAGCAGATAACAGCAAAATGTTGGCAACAATCAAACTTTCCAGCAAAACTATTTCAGTAAGTTTTATCCATATATTATTCAAAATAATTTTGTAGAGGTCTATTTGTGGCAGGCTGTGTGAGATGCATGTCTAAAATCCTTTCCCTCTTCTTCTATACTAACAGAATCCAGATACTGTTCAGGGCAGCAATGTTCACTGCTCCAGGCACAAAATCATGAAAATCCAGTTCCCACTTTCCCTTGAACCTAGAAGTGGCCATATGATCCAGTTCTGATCAATGAAATGTCAGGAGAAGTCTACTGGAGGCTTTGAGAACGGTTTGTTTTGTTTTGTTTTTGCTGTCCTCATAAAAGGGAAAGATGCTATCGATGCAAAAAATCATCTACTGCAGACCTTATATTAAGTGAGAATAATTAACCATCCGTTAAGCAAGAGTTGGTTGGATTTTCTGTTATTTGGAGCCCCAAGTGTCCCTCACTGTGGTGGATACTATGATGCACTTCCCGAGATCCCCCTTCAGGACTTGCAGATATTGGGAGTGCAACAGTCTGACAGTCTTCATCTGCCAGCTAGCTCCAGGAATCGCATTCACTTGAAGTTGGCTGCCTTGTCCAATGTTACATCCCCTTCCCAGAGGAAGCCCACATCAGATTCCACAGGAGTATACAGGCCCAGTCTTCTTTCTTCAGTTTGGGACAACTCAGCACGGCCCTCCCAGCTCCAGAGCCGAAGCCCTGAGACTAACAACTGCACAACTGCCTAACGTTCTCCTTCTGCCTAAACCTACTTAACTCCCTTCCCCCACGGTGTTGATCTTCAAAGCACTCCCTAATGAACTTCCTGCACTTAAATCTTGGTCTTGGTGTCTGTTTCCTACACCCACAGCATCACTGACACATTTATTCATGTAAAAAGTTGTTCAAAATACGTTGCTAAATGACAACAGGTTAGAAAGCACTACGCATGGTGTTTTCTTATTATACAGATTATACATCTGTGTAGGAAAAATTTCTGCAAAGGAAAATGCTAATATTTTAACAGCAGGACTTGTGTTTCCAAGAATATTCTGGCTAGATGTTTGGAGAAACTCCTTCTAGTTCAGAAAGCAGCAAATGCCAAAAAAAGAAGTTTTAATATTTTAATATGTAGAGTAGTGGTGGGTAAGTAATGGGGTGAGGAGCAGAAATGATAGGAAAGCACAAATCCACAAGAGCTAGAGATCATATTTACTGTGGAGGTATCTGCTGGCTCCTGACAGCCTAGAGAGAGTTTCTGATGAGCCATTGCTGCAGGGAACAGGAGACAAAGCCTAGAGCCCGAGCAGTGTGAGAGGTCAGCTTGGAGACCCTTTCATAAAGGCAGGAGAGCCCAAGAGCAACAGCCTCAAGAAGTTCAACTGGAAAAAGCCCACCCTGTAGCCAGAGCTGGAAGAAGTGAGCTCCATGGGAACAGCCATGTACAAGCAAACTCATGTGAGTGTCGGCCAGATCTAAACCTGAATCTCTGTGACCCAAAATAAACCCTGTGCCAAAAATAGAGTTCAAAGTGCACCTTGGTAGCACCCATAGAAAACTGCCCAAAGAAAACAAAAATTTTTCTTTGGAGCAATACATTTACAGACTTCAAAGAATTACCATAAAGTTACAAATTCAGAATTTAAAAAAAAAATCACTAAATCCCCAAGGATCGGCATGCACATCAAACTTCAGGAGCAGGAACACACACACACACCATAGATAGTGGTACGTTCAAACACAGAGTATAAAACAATGATGTTAACTGAATATAAAGAATTAAAGACAAACTACATAAAAAATGAATGATGTACTATATGTTGGTTAAATGAACATGATAATAAAAAAAGAAATAAAGGTAGGGTTGTTAGAATAAGAGTGCAGACTGTGTGAGAATGGACAGGAGAGATTTGGAAGAAAAATCAAATAGGAGTTTATACAATAAAAAGTAATAATTTAAATTAGAAACTCAAAGGATGCTATAAATAGCAGATAAAATTAAGGAAAAATTAAAGAATTAGAAGGTAGATCTAATAAATTACCAATATAGGACAAAAACAGAATGACAGAAAATATTAATTAGGGGTTAAGAGAAATAGAGCATAGAAAAGGTCCAATGTATGTTCCAGAAGGATTGAAGAACAATAATAGAGGAAAAGACAATATACAAAGAGATAAGGTTTCAGAAATTATGAAAGACACCAATCTTCAGATGCAGAAACCCAAAAATTCCAAGCAGCGTAATTAAAATAAATCCACACTTAAGGACATAGTAATAAAACTGCAGGATAACAAAGACAAGCAGAAGACTTTCCAATAGTAGCCAGAAGGCAGTGGAATATCATCTTTGAAGCGGCAAGAGAAATAATTGTCAACCCAGAATTTTATACCCAGCAGATAAAATTTTATGAATGAAGGTGAAATAAAGGTGTTTTCAGACATAAACAGACATCATTAAATAAACTTTTAAAGAACATATCTCAGAAGGATAAAAATGATCCTAGGAAGAACATCTGGGATGTAAGAGGGAATAGTGAGCAATATTCATCATTGTACTGGAAGTCCTAGCCAGTGAAAAAGGCCAGAAAAAGAAAAGGCACACATATCAGAAAAGAAGAAATAAAACTTTCTATTGACAAACAACTTGCCTATGTAGAAAAACCCGAGGAGTCTACCAAAAAACGACTAGAACTAATAAGTGGCTTTACCAAGGTCATAGAACATTAGGTCAATATACAATATGTATACAATATACAATACAACTGTATTTCTGTATACCAGCAATAAACAATTTGAAATTTAAAAATTTAAATAATGCTATTTACAAAAGCACCAGAAATAGGAAATCCTTAGGCATGATTCTTACAAAATATGTGCAAGATCTGTATGCTGAAATTTACAAAACATCAGTGAAAAAAATCAAAGAACACCTAGATAAATAATGTCTTCATAAATTGGAAAACTCATTGTTTTTTTAAAAAAGATTTTATTTATTTATGTGACAGAGAGAGAGACAGCAAGAGAGGAAACAAACACAAGCAGGGGAAGTGGGAGAGGGAGAAGCAGGCCTCCCGCCGAGCAGGGAGCCCAAAGCGGGGCTCGATCCCAGGACCCTGGGACCATGACCTGAGCTGAAGGCAGATGCTTAACGACTGAGCCACCCAGGCACCCCTGGAAAACTCATTGTTCAGATGTCTGTGGCAGGCAGCCTTTAAGATGCCCCCTAATGGTCCCTAACTTTTGGTATTCACACCCTTGCCTAACTCCCTTCTCTTGAGTGTGGGCAACAAAACACCATGGGTAGTCATGCACCTCTAATTTTTAAAAAGTGGCAAAAATGACCTTGCCTCCCAGATGAGACTGTAAAGAGTCTGTGGCTCTGGTCTTGAGCACACTCTCACTCTCCTACTCTGAGGAAAGCTAGCTGCCATTTTGTGAGCTGCTCTATAGAGAGGCCCATTGGTCAAGGAACTGAGGTAGGATTCCAGCCAGTAGCCTGCAAGGAACTGAATCTTGCCAATAACCATGTGAGTTCGGAAGCAGAACTTCCCCTAATTGAGCCTTCAACTCAGCCCTGGCTGACAACTTGATTGCAACCTTGTGAAAAGCCGTCAGGCAGAGGTACCCAGCTAAGCTGCATTTGGATTCCTGACCCACAGAATCTGAGATGATAAATATTTGATGTTGTAAACTGCTTAATTTGGGGCTAATTTGTTATGCAGTAATAAATAACATAATGTCAATTCTTCCCAAATTGACAGGTAGATTCCATGCAATCCCAGCCCAAATCCCAGAAAGACTTTTTGTAGAAATTGTCAAGTGGACTCTAAAATTTATATGGTAAAGCAAAGGAACTAGAATAGTCAAAACAGTTTTGAAAAAAGAACAAAGCTGGAAGACTCACAGTGACTGATTTTAAGATATAATATAAAGCTAGAGTAATCAAGACATTGTGGTATTGGCAAAAAGTAGACTCATAGGTATGTGGACTAGAACAGAGAGTCCAGAGATAAACCCACATATATATGGTGAACTGAATTTTGACAAAGGTGAAAAGGCAATTTTTAGAAAGATAATATCTTCAACAGATGTTGCTGGAACCACTGAACATTCATTCAAAACAAGCAAACAAACAAAAGAACCTCATTGGATACCTCACATCATGTACATAAATGAACTAAGTATATATCATAGACCTAAATGTAAAACCTAAGACAATAAAACTTTTAGAAGAAAACACAGAAGAAAATCTTTGTGACCTGGGTT